AGGCGGAGCTCCAGGGACGGTTGGCAGCCCAGGAACTAGCGCGCCTTTGGCCACGAAAAGGCCACATCTCGCTTCCATGGGCCCCTGACTACTGCTTCCACTGGTGCATGTTCTTCCATGCTTGCACACACACACACCTGACCGTAGTCTCTCGCTTTACGATAGCCTTTGCCCTAGTCCGCTATATTGGGGTATTATAAGGGACTCTATGCAAAGGACTATTCAAATGCTGAAGATAAGAATCACGGAATTTTTCTAAATATTCTGCTACAATTTCTAAAAATTCGTCTCAAGCGGTAGCGGTGATCACTAAGCACTGAAGTTTAGCTAGAACAACTCAAGGCTAGGGGTACCCCCCAGGAGGCCCGTCGCGCGGCAAGAAGGCAGAGTCGCGGACGAGTCGCAGCGCGTGTGCGATGTAGGACGTACAATGGACATTCTATTTAACTTGACGCGAAATCCCTACAGTACGCGCGCGACTCGTCCGCTGACTCGCCTTCTTGCCGCGCGACGGGCCTCCTGGGGGGTACCCCAAGGCTAGAAACCACTTTTGGTTCTCTTGAGCTTTACAATGCACTCTGGTGACCTGTTCCGTTCTGTAAAAGATTTCATCGTCCTTGTAAGGGTCGTTGTTGCAATTGTTGTGAAAGAATTACTTACAAGTCGATCATAAAAAGTCTCCGACGATTTTTTGTGGACGACAACAATTTGACATCATCCACGGTTAACGCAAAATCGAACACCTGCAAAAATTTCTTATTGTCAGCCGGCAATGAGGGTAGGCAAAATCACGGACCAGCTTAGGGGGTTAAGCTACAGGAAACAAGGTGAACCGTCACATTGGGATATTTCAGATGGGACAACTCTTCCTCCCTTGAGAGCCTTCATCATGACCTCATATGGGGGCCTGATAGCGTACTGAAGCTAATTCGTCTTACAAACTTCGAAACCCTGTCCTGAAAATAAGACCTTTCTACAAAAATGGGACCTCTTCACCTTCACTTCTTCAACACGAGCCCCTTTCTCTCAAGTCATAGGTGAAAAATCCCTGCGGACGGTAGACCCTGATAGGAAATCAGAGATCAAAAGATTAGGCGGCTGAAAGATCAGGTACCTATCTATTATATTAGGAGAACATTAGACAAGGAGGTTAGGGGCCAGTCAAATCAATCAATAAGTACCCAATCTTTTTAGCAGAACAGTCAATCCACAAATTTCCCAATCGCCTAAGCAGTATGTACACAAATATATTCTAAGTATCATCTATGCCCATAATCTGCCAAATTGTGGAGTATAAACGCGGTCATAGAGACGCGGAGGCGGCATCAAATTAGCGTTATCGTAAGGGACGACGATGACAGACGACGGTTCTGTTCCCTTAAAACGTTTTGGAAAGGGCAATTGTTGCCGAAACGTCAAAGGAATGAGTTTATACTGGTGATTTTTATGGCTGCAGCAGTAAATAATGAATTCTGTCACATTATGCTAGGATTAGTAAAAAGTTGTTCGCAGACCCCCTGGCATTGGCGAAAGGGGTGTGCGCTTGGGCTCTGGAGATCGTCTGGTCAAAGGAAAACTGTTTCGCACGGGGAAATCTTGATAAAAGGTCGGAAACTGCGTAGGGAGGCACCGAGAGTCTCTTCAAACCTCTAATTCCCACCTTTAAGTGGCTCAATGCACTCATTCCCATAAACACGGTAGCTCACTAACTCAATCTAAGGAGCCATGTGACTCGATAGACCTTAGTGGGTCAGAAGAAGGAGCTAATGCTGCAAAGTCGCTAGTCTCCCCACGATTTCGCCCGACATTATTGGCCTTCGGATCTTCCAGACAACATTGATTTCTCCTACAGTGTTTGTATTTGTTTGTTGATTTCTGGTAAACAAATTTCTTCTGTTTCTGCTTATAATAAGTTATTCACTAATGCCTGCATTCATACTCTGACGTTGACCGTACCTTGAAATTCTCGGCGATTCGGGCTGGATTTACGGATTTTGGTATGACTGCAATGTTTCGATCGAGGACATATCGCAATAGAATCTGAATAGTGCTTATACATTATAAAGCAGGCTGTAGGTATGCTGGAATGGAGTTCTCTGAAGAGTACCTGTGCTGGCGTTTTTGAATATTTTTGAGCAAGTGCTTTCACGTTTACGTCGTCCAAGTCTCGTGGAGCCTCTGGCCATTCAACCTTCCTGCAAAGATTCAGGCCACTATTCCCTTTTTCATTGTGTAAATGAAACTTCGAATTAAAGTCAAGATTTCGAAGGCAGTTGTTACGATAACGTGGCTGTCCGTGCAGGATATAATGGCGTAGCAGATCGTAGAAAGGAAATCGAAGCGCCCAACCGGATGCTGAGAAGCGAAATGCGCTTTTTTAGCAGCGGAACTCTGCTGCGAATTACTAGCTGCCCCTCTACCTCACTGATGTTCCGCCCTGAAATGGACGTGTCAACCGCCGGGTGTGTCAACACATTCGTACCGCGCTATTGGCCGTGGGTGCGACGTGGCAACTGTAGTGGATGAGCTTTTGCTTGCGTCATTTGAATTTAAATGTTAAATGGGCGCCAAGTAGGCAATTTCCTTCGACATCCGGCTCCAATAAAATGCTCAGATATTCAACCCCGTCGAAGTTTTTTTCTTCCTGCGTTTTCCAATATTGTGAGAATGAACTTCGAAAACCAATTTTTTCACACTATTTCTATGAAAGCCGGAGCACATATGTTGGGGGAGCGGTCAACAGAATCGTCCGAGAGTGGCGCCGCCGCGTGCGGCCGCTTACGCGATGCCGCAACGCGACACCTTTGTGATGGGCGCGGCAATTTTTGAATTTGACGATTGGAGCCCACGATAATTATATAGAATGCGGATATCGAAGCGAATCTGGAACGTACTACCTTCACTCTTTCATAAGAGGTGTTGCGAAGAAGTTTGTTCCCAAAGTTTATTATCGGAACATTGAGAAAAAGCAGAAAGGAGGACCCGATAGAACTTAAACACCCGCGCATTGCTTCAAACTGAGTGTTATGGGATGGGTCGCCTTGGTGTACCTTTACATAAAATTCAAATGGCGCTCGCAGAAACTCGTCCACTGCAGTCGCGACGTCGCGACCACGACCAGTACAAGGGCTCCGGGCGATTTCGTTGACATACACCCCATATGTTGGGATGCGATATCCACGTTTCGCATAGATCATTGTGGACTGTCAGAAAATCACTGTTACAGTCGATATTCAAAAACACCGCTTTCCCTTCTTGGCTTTTAATATTCAGATGGGGAGACGTCAAGAGTCCCTCGCGACCGCCGCGCCAAAACTAGATCACCGCACGCGACGTCGCTGGCGTTTCTGCAGTTTGAAATAGTAATTTGAAAAGGTATAGGAACCATCCCTCTATACAACCGATACTACGCTTTTTTCCGTCTGTGTAGTCCCATTTTGCATTTGTTCAAGCTAAGTCCTAGCGAATTGCCACGTTTCAAACTGCAACGACCTGGATACGGTAGCCGCCGCGTGCGGTGACCTACTTTCGCTTGCGCGGCGACCTCAAATGGACTCTTGTTTCGCAGATGTGTTTGGAGTAATTCATTTCGATCTACCATCCGTGGTTGTCACCGACCCTCGTCTGGCTGTCTGCTTTCTCCACAATGTCCACAGTCTCACACTTGTTTGCCAGTCCCACAATTTCGACGACATTTCTTTTTTCGACGGTCGATGGCATCCACTGTAGATCAGGGGAATATCGTATACATAGTTGTGTGGAAGTGGAGATCAAAGAGAAATCCGTTTTGAAGTTCTCTATTCATGATGTAAGTGATTTCATGATGTTCCCAACCCTGGTAGTAAATATGAATTTTTGATTTTAGGAAGTTGTTTTGAGACAGCGAAAACACAACAAAGGTTGAGTATGAGCGTCTTCTTGCATCAGCCTACCAGCCATCGTAATCACTCTGTCATAAGATGACAGCAGAACTCACTGTCCTGTTGGAAGCGCTTTGACTTTTCCACGACCGGGCGATCCAGCGTTGCGAAAGATGTGAGAACAATGTTGTGCAGTTTGCAAGTTTGATGCAGTTCATGTTGAGGCCAGTAGAGGTGAACTTCGGCCTTAAGCAATACTCATTTACTTCCAGTAATTGATGAGTTAGCGCTTACAGGGGGAGAGGAGGTGGAGTTGTGGGCTGATAAAGCAAGATGGGTTCTATGTACATACGATTCATTTACAGACTCATTGACCCACAGGAGAGCCTGCTTCTGGCCAATGAGTCATAGCCAGCCAATCATACAAGCCAGTGAGTTGGATGTCGGACATTGTTCACTCTGGGAGGAATCCTCATTATCGGAAAGGATGAGGAAGAAAATGTTTTAGGTCGACAGAAATGACAGGTTCTAAGCCACGACCGCTTTCTCCGAAACAGGGTTAAGATTTCAATTCCTTCCAAGTTCTTCGCATGAGAGCTATAGAAGCTTTGATCATTAGCATCAAAGAGGCTAAATCGTCCGCACTCTCTTCACTACGTAGCATGAAACATGGCGCTATCGCTAGGTAGGGCCATCCTTTGTTTAGAAGCAGGAGCTTCGGAGAAAATGAAAATTGCTCAACTGGTCTAGACTCTCCACCTCCGCCTAAAGTCTAGTTCCGTATTCAACAGAAGAAGAAGAAGTTTAACGCGATTTTGAACGCATTTCCACCACAATGATCCCGCATTCAGCGATAGAGCCCAACACTTCATTTTTGACCCAAAGTTAGCGCTCTTTCCAAGGAACACTGCAAGATTTACATGCGTGGGAACTGGAAGCCTTACATGCGTAACCAGTCAAACTACGAATGATATGCGCCACGTAGAGCTGTACCCTCCCTTTCAAAAAACGAGAAGAGCGTCGGGTGCAGACCATACACCACAAGTGACGACGGCCTCCAAGTAAATCTGGTTAGTAGTGGTTCATAGTGATAGCTGATTTTTGGTAATAATTAGTGTTGATAGAATACAACTGCAACAGGCTAATCATTTCATTGGCAGAAAACATTTACATTTTGTGGAGGCCGTCGTCACTTGTGGTGTATGGTCTGCACCCGACGTTCCCCTCGTTATTCGAAGGGGAGGGTAAAATGCTACACACTTCATTTCGCCGTCCCTCCCCAGAGTCGTTCAATGAAAATAATCCAGGCTTTGTGCTCTATGCATACTCCTCGAACATACAAAAAGCTGGCTGGGAAAGGTGCAGCTTGCCGTGAACGACGTGCCCCCTCCTTCCTCCTCCCCTTTATCTTCAGTTGTGCCAGCACTCCACCTGGCAGTTGTGAATTGGCACAGTAGAAGTTTTCATAATACGTTCTATCTGCTCAGGGCTGTAGTTGGATACACCTATGGCTTTGGCCAGTCCTTTCTTATAGACGTCTTCCATACCACGCCATGTATCCTGCACCTTCACGTAATGGTTTTGCGACTTCATGTCTTTCTGAAAAATGCAGTTTATGAAGAAATAGAATCCGATGTTGGCAATGGAATTTTTTCACTCAGGGTCTCGGCTACATCGAAATCGAAGTGCTATCCCAATTTTGTATGTGTTTTATACTTTTCGGTTTTTTTTCCAAAAAACCTTTGGGCGCAACGATTGTTCCTGTAACGCGCCGCGAGCGAAGAAATTGCGCGGCAACTGGCTACTACCTCACTCCTCTCTACCCTGATCCATTCGCGTGCTATCTCGCAATTTTCGTGCCTGCACCATCTCCATCGGTCCCCACACCTAGCAGGCGCGCCTTGCTGGTTGCTCATTGCATGGAAACCGTGCTACATATTGCAAGGCTTCGCGCACATGGTATATGCATTACGAGACATGGCAAAGGTGATGCTGGTCACGCCATGTGCGATGGCCAGACTTAGCGACAAATGCAGACCGCCGTAGCTGCTCGCGCTGCATCGCAATTGAAGCGACCAATAGTAGGAGTGCTGTAGTGGTGCCATCGATTGAGGGCTTTTTAACAGCAGGCAACAGCGCTGCCCTCTGCCATATTGCTCGTCTGTAGAGGGAACTGCAAATGGTAGGGATAGTTTACAAGATTTCTGTGAACCAGGGCCTAGGGTGTAGGAGAAGTGGACCCTTCGTGTGGCGTTTAGACTAAATATTTCAAAGCAAAAAAAGAAAGCACAGATCCGCAACATGCCCTTGTTTGGAGCCCCCAGACAACACAATAACATGCTGAACTGCCGTAGGCCTCCCCTGAGATATAACTTTGCAAGAGAAACCACCGAGTTACGGGCCGCAGCAGTGTCGCAGCATATGCTGCCGGCACGCCCACTAGTCTATGACTGGCTGGCTCGTGTCTGCACACAGTAACCTCGTGTGGTGGTAGCCAATCACGGACGAGTGGGCGTGTTAGCAGCATATGCAGTCGACACTCCTGCGGCCCGTAACTCGCAGGTTACTCCTACAACTTTACCTGGGACGGTTGACGGAAGTCCACGGACCGGTGTGGACGGCGTGTTTGCCTAAAAGTCTGACTGCTCCTCAGGCCGACGACATAGTTCGCGAATCAGCGAACGGCTCGATTCGCAAACTATGACGTCGGCCTTAAAGGACGAATTCACGCTGGAAAGGCAACCCATTTCAAATTAACTTAGGGATGGTGAGTGGTACACGAAAGAAGGAAAAACCATGAGAAACGGCCCAGAACCCGAGAAATGGGACCCCTTCCTTGCCCGTTGATTTGAGCATTGATGCGACTCTCATCGCTGTGCCCTCTTCAACACTACGCTCTCTCACCTATCTAATCACTCGCCACGTATAGACCTGCGGCGAGTGATCAGATGATCGGTGGGCGTGCACTGGCCCACCGCGCCAAGATTGAGCCTTAATAGGTCGCCGAGGTCAACTCCTTCGGTGCCAATTGCGCTTCAGTCCGCACCCTTAGGAGGTCCGCGGGTCCCTCAACTAGGTGAATTACTCCTTCTTCGACCTTCACTCGTGAATTCGTCCGTTAAAGCGGCAGGTCCCACCAATCCAGAGCGTACATTTGCTGCGCAATTTCGTTGCGTGATAAGCGGCGAAAACAATCGTGCACCCTGAAAACTTCGAAGATGAACAGTTAGCTTCGTTACATTGAAGCAGGTTGGAGCGTGTGCCAGATAGAGGTCCACATATTCTATTTGAAGTTTGCGAAGAGATTCACGTAGTGCACTCTCGACGTCATCCGGGTGCAGATGTGTCACCCATAACTGCAATAGAAAGCTTGTACTCCATGTATTCATTAAATTATATTTCGTATTTTGAAGGCACAACTAAAGATGGGTTCTCTTGATGGAGGCATGAGCTGCGCACAAGGGTCGTGGATGCCTTGTTCTCCCGGATGTGAAGTATGTAAAAGGGCGTTAGGGCTGGCAGAAAGCGCCTCGACCGCTTCCATTTCTCTCGTCCACGGCACGCTGCTGTCCGACGCTCTCTCATGCGTTGTGCTCTCACCCCTGTCTTCTCTTCGTGTCAGTCTAGCATTGCCTTATAGTTGGCACAAAAGTGAACAAGCCCTTCACTCTGGTGTTTTTCGATGGATCCCTTTCCCTTTCCGATTGGTTCCCTTTCGTTGCTATTAGTGTCGCCCCCCCCCCCTGCTTCGCACCCCTTTTGTTTCCAGTTTCGTGCGAGAATGACACCTAGTTTGATCCTGGGCGCGTGGCATTCCATGCAAATAAGTATGCTATCTACTTTATAATATACCAGATTAGTCCCCCGTCAACCGCCGGGACCTTCCTTTCCTGCGCAAGCTTTCTATCCTCCGCTATGGTCCCTTCCTCCTGTGACACCAACACCTCCTGGAAGTGACGCGTATGCAACACAATGGTGTTTCATACAGTAGAAGGGACACAATCATGATATGACGGTAGATTTTTCGCTTCCCTTCCTCATCCTCCCTTCCTCTCTCCACTGCCCTCCAGCTGCCACTGCAGCACCATGTGGAATGAACGGAAGTGTGCTAAGCAGGTGTTTATATAGCCCTGAGAGTGTTATCACAACTATCTACAAAACATTGATATCTCAAATCCTGTAAGCTACCCGATTTGTTAGCGGTTTGTTTATCCCATGAGCTTCCTTCTCACTCACTTCATTTTGCGGACGGACACATACACACACACACACACTCACACACACACATACAGATACACAAACCGACACACAAAGTTAGCGCTTTATAAAATAGTAGGAAAATTCATCAACTATCCCTCATAGGCAGCAATGTTATGGCAAGCGAGTCGTACCTTTCGGTAGTGATTGAAAACGCATTCCCGCGAGTAAACTTTCTCTCCAATTCTGTACGCTTTACTTTGAGGAGTTTCACCAATTCTGCCTATTCATTTCCTCATAATGCCAGCCCGCAGAATCATACTCAACGATAACTCATCAACTCAGCTGACATTCAAGCAACCCCAACTACTAACAGCTGGCAGCATAGTCTGCCAATAAGCCCGTATACCATGAGAGCACGCTAGCTACACTAGGAGGGCCGAGACCACTCTCCCAAATCTTACCTCGCACCACTCCCCCGCTTACCAGATACTCTCGGTAAGCTCAAAGAGGAGGACACGAGAGGGGGAGATGATGAGCGACTTTGTTTCTTCCCCCCCTTACGGCATATCAATTCTTCGCGTCTCCCCTGGCCTCTATTCAGGTCACTTACATCTGTTTTGTATCGCCTCTCCGAAAGGTATGAGAGCCATTCCACTACACTGCTTAAACCCCATTCGCCGTATGTATCCCCGCAGTCTGGCTCTCCTGCCACCTGGATCCGCAAGCAACGTGATTCGAATCAATAACTAAGCACTTCTTCATTTCCCTAGTCCCGCGCAGTAGCAGGGTCCGCTGCCCTTGTCAGTGTCCCTGTCGCTACCTCACCCAGACCAGGGCATCTTCTGCTCTGCCGTCACCTCACTTACAAGGGAGGTCGTTCAGGGTGTGCCAAGCTTTTTCAAAATGGTTTCTTGCATGACATTGGGGCACATATGGGGACCACAGAACCATGGTTCATTTTTCCTGAACGGCCCTCTGAATACCAGAAAAGGGGGTCCCTAGTTCGATTCCTCGTGGTGACATTTCGAGTTGACGTTTCAAAATTCGCGCAAAATGGAGTTAGCATGAATAAGTACCATATTCATGATTAGGAACCGTCAGTAACCCTTACAAATAGACTTTGATTGAAAAACTGGTGAAAAAGGTGTGACTAGGGACCCCTTTTCTGGTATTCAGAGGGCCGTTCAGGAAAAATTAACCATAGTTCTGTGGTTCCCCCTCTATATCATGCGAGAGACCGTTTTGAAAAGCTTGGCACACCTTGAAAGACCTTCCTTGTTAGGCCTTCTTCGATTACGTCTCTCCACCTCTTCTTTGGGGCTCCTCGCGGTCGCTTGCCTTGCACTTCGAAGTCCATCGCTGTTCTTATCGGATGGTCCTGTGGCCTCCATATACCATCGCAGACGCTGTTCCCGTACCTTCAGCTGGACAGGGGCAGTCTGCATGACCGCTCTGACATCCTCGTTTCTGACCCTGTCCAGCCGCGTCCAGCCGCAGGCCCATCTCAGCATCCTCATTTCGGCGGAGTGAAGCTGCCTTTCGTGATTCTTGTTCAGGGGCCAGCACTCGCTGCCGTTCGCAGGCCTTACCACTGTTCGGTACACCTTCCCTTTGAGCGCTCTGGAGCACCTTCGATTGCAGAGGATTCCAGTGAACTCCCTCCATTTCATCCTAATCCATACAACCGTCGGCTGCCAGATCGCTCCCAAGGTAGCGGAAGTCCTCCACTCTTTCGATGGTCTCACCATGGCCGTCCTACGATCGGCTCTGCACCCTCTTCAGAGCTCAGGAACTTGGTCTTCTTGACATTCAGCCGGAGCCCACCTTCTTCTGCCAGGACTTTCTGCCATTTCTGCACCTTGGCTTGAAGTTCCTCTCTGCTATCCGCTATCAGGGCGATGTCGTCAGCGTAGAGGATGGTCTTCAGTGGTCCTTCCATGAGCCCCTTCACCAGGACATCTAGTGTTAGGAGGAAGAGGAACGGGCTCAGAGCTGACCCTTGGTGCACCCCAACCGTGATGTCCACCTCCTTCGTTAGGCCGTGTGGGGTGCGTATAGCTGCCTTGGCCCCATCGTACATGTCCTTCACCAGAGAGATCAGGTGTTCTGGCACGTTTCCGTTCCCTGAGCGATCTCCATAGTACTGCTCGCGGTAGCCGGTCGAACGCCTTCTCCAGGTCGAGGAAGGCTAGGTAGCAGGTCGGCGGCGATACTTCTCCATCACTTGCCTTGCGATGAAGATGGCATCCGTTGTAGACCTTTCGGGC